GCTATAAGAAAATCGATGCGAACAGGTTGGCATATATGGGACGAGGCTTTTGCTCTCACTGGTAAAACAGAATTTTGACTCTCATAGCATCACGATATCAAAAATACCTTGAACTGTACATTTGTCGCCATTCTTTACCCTTCCAAACTGCAACGTTCTGACATGCCAAAATCAAGCTAATTAAGCCAGACTTGGATAACAAGATCTTCAGACAAGGAAAACAACGAGGTGGTAAACAAATGACAAACAACTTTGGGCCAGTTGCTTCCGGCAGATATTTTGCCGTCGACCGAGAGTGAGAAACGAAATTAAAATAAAATTTTATCTACCGTTGGTCTCATGTCTGTTTCTTACACTTTTATAAGGTCGATTATACATGTCATTCTGCTAACACAGACTTCAATCGCCAAGATAGCAACATTCTTGGACTCCTTGCTTCCTAGAGTTTATGGAGCAGGGCTCATTTCCATCACTAGTTACATGTTGCGCTTAGTCTCTCGCTTTCTTCCAAGTATAGAGAACCACTTCGTATTGTATCGTTAAGTTATTTCTGCCCCTGAATCGACTTGAAATCAGACTTTATAAGCAAATGCACTGCTTACTGGCCGAATTGCATCTTTGTGATTCTGCCAGTCTTGAAAATTAATAATACAAAAACGAAAAAACATGAAGACTTGCCTTGAAATTAGGAAATGCAGAAGTGACCAGAGCCGTGAAACTTTTTGACTTGGTTGAATTCGATGTCAGACATTCCCAACAGACCTTGAGCTTCCTCACCGCTTCGCAAGAATGATCCAGAATTAGGGGTGACTGAACCTGAAAGCGAAACATCAGTATAATCAGACAAAAATAATACCAAACATAACTTGTCAAACTCGTACAGACAACGTACCGCTGATTATCAGAAGCAGAAAAATTTGCTAGCTCCACAGCTGACAGTAAGACAGGCAAACAGATTTTTCATTTAACGCAGATCTGACCTTCTGACCAAACACACATGGGTCATCATCAGGGAACAAACTCGCTGTCTCTGATGACGACCAATTTAGTTCGGTCGAAATTTGGATTTGTTTTGCATAAAGAACTTTTTATCTTTCTTGCAGCTAGCCAAAGAATTAGAAGACATTTGTATCCAGTGATGCCTCAACAACAAGAATTACGGCTTGTTTGCCTGAGTGTGCTAAAAACCTCACCTCGTCCAATTATCAAATTTCATGGAGTAATACTTAACCCTATCTTTCAGTAAGCATACATATCTCATCGATATTTACGTTCCCTTTCGTGCCACAGCAACACTTTGTTCCTCAACAGCAGTAATTCGCAAGTACGTACTACTATTATACTTTAGTAAAATAGACAGAAATGAAAAAAATAAAGCGAATAATACCTCCCCTTCCAGCTGCTCACAGTCTTGTGATCGTCTTTTAGTTTAAAGAGGCCTTAGGAAACCCTTAAGGAAGGCCACGGAATTAGTGTTCCAATATTCAAACAAATATCGCAAAGAAAGCCATCCACAGTTCAACGATCATATACTGGGACTCGCCGGAATCAAGCACTGTCGATGTTGTTGCTGGTCGTCGTGCTTACTACTCATCCATTTTCGTTTGTCCTCCCATTACCACCTTCCAAAAGCTGTAGGGTTTTCAAGACGCTGATCGATTCAAACAGCACATGGGAAGAGTCGGTGACTGCCTCTATGAAAGGCCACCCACTTCTCTTTTGTACCAACTAAACAACCTCATATCATTCATATATCAGTGCTGGAGTGGCAGTGCTGGAGTACCACTGGAGTGGCAGTTGCTTCTAGCACCCTAGCCGAAAAACAAAGAAGCGAAAAGCTATGGCGATGTGATTTGTTCAGAGGGCAAAATTTCATGATTCTCCTTTTCGATAAAAACAGCACTGCTCATCAAGGTTCTGAGAAATAGTCCAAAACAGAAGGCAAATCATCGAGAAGCCGGCGAAGTGAAATTTCCGTCCATTTTCAAAATGATGGAATAGCAATGAGCAGCCGAAATAATATGAAATTTTTCTGGTTATGCAGAGTGGTGATATCAGTAGCAGAAATCGTCAGTGTTGCTTCAACGTGACCGTAAGTCTGGAACATGTTCCTGTCACAGACGTACATTGTAGAAGGCGCAAATTGGCCAAACTGACATAGAGTGAAATAACAGTACGTCAGCATTAATAAAGTAAGAAGGAAGCTCTCACCTGCAGATGTAAAAACATTAGGTGCAGCCAAAGATGAGGTATTTTGGTTTTGAACGCGAAACACGTGCTGGTGTAAAGACAAAGGTCGCTACGATCTTGACATGCGAAGTGAATGCGAACGATCTGCTTGTTACCTGATTCTGAAAAGCGGAACAACATACTGAAACAAACGCTGATGTTCAACAACAGACGCTACACTACGAACCTTCCACCGTGCACTGGCAAGGCACCGGATATTTGGTGTTAAGGTCGGCAATGTAGTTTTTGATCTTCTGATAATGCTTCTCACAAAACTGGCGCACCGCGTCTCCTTTGACTGCGCACTCGTGCTAAAACCAACATACTTAACAAAGTGTTAAGTTTGCATTCATGAGATGATATACTGAGATCGCTGAAAAGTTGAGAACGAAATAAGTGAAGCGGCGTAATCAGAACAAATATCCTGTGTTTACGAACGTAGATCACAGGATGTCGTCTTGAAAACTTCTTAAAAAATACAGTATGCGAAGGGAGATGGACCTATATATTGCAAGTGCTCAAATACTATGAAGATAATCCAGGAGGAAAGGGCGGGTTTTAGAGCGCCAAGCATATCAACCGATGGTATACAAATTACCCTGTAACGCTGAGAAATATTACATAGGAAAAAATGGGAACAGTCATTTAAAGCACAAAAGCCCACCACTCAATCTGGAGAAAACAAATGATTGCGGACAAGCCTAACGAAGTACCCGGAAAGAAAACTGCCCTGTCTACAGCCAAATCAACGATTAATGCGAAAGAACTTGCGGGAACACGCTGCATGCGGTAATGGAAGAACAGCATGTCGCGGTAGCCAGAGCGCACCCGCATAATTAAACAATGGCACTGGCTGACTATACATGTCAAGGAAGCACTCAGTATGTGACCGTGTCAACCGGCACAAAAGATACGAACTCTGCGTGGACTGAATGAACCTTGTAGTCCAGTCGAAGAAAACTACTAAACAGCAGCACAATCAAAAACCTCCCCATCTGACTCTGCGAACGACAGAGAACTTTGGAAGTCAATCAACCTCTTTACATTGAATAAGGTGGCATAAGGGCCAAAACGTCGGTAGGGATTAATCATCTGACTGACCATATTAACTAAACCATGTTTCGTGCTGTATACAGTGCTATGATCACCAGCGCAACACACGAACAAAATACATAATCCGGAAGCGCTTAATGTGCAGGACTGAATAAATCCGTCGTGCTACCTATTAAGGCACAATTGTAGATGAGAAAAGTAAGCAAGTGATCTTATCAGATACGATACAGAATTGCAATGTAAAGCGGACCTTCCAACTACCAAATGGTCAGATTCTATTGATTTCATTCTATCTAAATCGATTACAACGATTTCGAATCCAGATCATGGAGGCTGTGAAATTGGTGTATGGCTAAAAAACTTGCGAATGGAAAAATTTACCAAAGATTATACAAAATGATACAGTATCGG